GGGCGTTGCGGGGCTGCGAACCCGCGTGGGGTTGTGCCCCAGGCTCGGGGGCCCTGCGGGGCTTTTCTCCTCCGAGACAAGACCCGCAGGTTGCTCGTGTCGTTACCGGCGTGTTCCCGGCTCGGTCGTGGGGCATGAGCACCGGGTTGTCTCGACATCCTGCCGTAAGGCATCGGTTCGGGTTTTTCTTGGGGTTTTGGGGTTGTTTGTTTGTTTTGGGCGGGAGATCAAACTCACTGTTTGCCCCCCTTACATCATTATTTGAAGGGTGCACAACCCTCTACGTTTTTTCTTTTCTGTGCATGTTTTGCAAGGTGGCTTTAGATAAATCTGCGGTTCTGTGTATTGCTGCTGTGGCAGCTTAACAAGGAGGTAAAAGGTACTTTGTGCTTTCTTTAAAGGGAAACTCGGCGTTGGTGTTGATGCCATTCAGCACGGGGTAGAAGGACTGACCTATCTTCTTGCTGAGAGCTCCAAGCTTATGGTAGGGATACCTTTTGTGTTGTAAATTCAGGAATACACTCCAGAGATGTCTTCTAAAAACTTACAGCTCTGAAAATACTGATGAATGGGGGAAACCGAGTTCAAAATTCTGATGACTTTTAAGAGCAGCCTTTTTAAGAAAGGTGTCTGTAAGAGAGACCTTCTTAAGGAAGATGTCTCTTACGCTGTTCTCTTACTGAAACACTGCACTGCGTCTGTGGATGACTGGAATTTGTATTCAGTGCCTGAAGCTGAATCATGTCAGACCACTTTAGTAACGTATACCAAGAACATGCAGTAATTTAGTCCATATAGAGAAGCGTACTTCACTAAGCTCAAGTGAAGATTGTTGTTGTTCAGCTCCTGTACCGGGTGTGTGTTGTGCTAACCCCCTGTTAAGTATTCCTTGTGTTGGTCTGATACAGTAGGTTTGAGAGCTCTTCAGATCTTGACATAAGAAGTTTGGGTGGGTGTAGACAGATATTAAAATAACTAATAGTTGGATAACTACTGTTTCTGTTGGAAAGACTTTTACTATTGATTGATATAGGAAAGTATTTGAACAATGAAGACATGGAGAAAGGGATACAGAGGCAAGTAATTCCAAATTAAACTCAAGCAGGCATTGCTGTCAAGAGCAGGCGGGGAAGGGATTGAAATATTTCAGAATCTTCCCTTGAAGTAAGGTGACTTGACTGACAAATTGCAGTGAATTATGGCAGAATATAGTTGATCACAGAATGTGTTTATGGTATGAATGCATTGTCAATTGTCAGTTCATTTTCTGTTGAATAACAACAGTGATGAGCAAGGCTCCTCCAGTTCAGCACAAAGGCATTATTGATTGACCTGTGGGAATTGGCTTGTTGGGGCCACTCAGAGTTACTGTAATGCCGAGCCTGGTGCTCGCTTAGGTGTGTAGACATTGAGATCATTGCAGAGTATTTATAATTTGAGTATCGGTATTATTTTAATACACTGTTGATAAATTGATGATCGAAATGTGTACTTTCTCATGATGAAGCTCAGATGCTTTTTTGTGTTACATTTTGTTGTCTGATATGAAGGCTTAAATGTGAGCATGTTGAATGTTTTTAAAAAAAAAATCTAAAACTGTTCCTGAAGCTCACGCAATTCAGCAGTAATACATCAATATGTGTAAATCACTTAGAACTTGGATGGTTTATTTTGTCCTAGCTGTGGAATTGTCCTCACGCATTCCTTCAGGAAAATAACTGTACCATACCATATATCATGTTTACTTACAGTTTTATTTGTTTGTCAACAAATAATGATTATTACACAGTCCTGCATTAAGGCCTAAATTGTTATTTCTAGATTTCTGAGATAGACTTCCAAGATTCCATTCACGTTCTGGGATTCTCAGATGAATTGAACAAATTATTGCTCCAGCTTTACCTTGATAACAGGAAGGAGATCAGAAGCATTCTCAGTGAGCTGGCACCAAAGCTTCCCAGCTATCACAGTCTTGAATGGAGACTGGACGTGCAGGTAACTTCAATTATTTTTTTCAGTTTTCTGTATTTTACTTTACATTTTTTTTAACATTATGAACAACTACTAAACAGTGAATTTGTATTATTCCAAAGTAATTGAGGCAGCAGTTTTTCATGTATTTAAAACTGACATAATATTGTTATTGCACCAAAGATAGCTGGCTACGAGATGAACAAGGTACATAATGTTGCAAAATATTTGTCGCTTTATGAAAATTGAATTCATAGTTCCAGTGGGGTTTTTAAAAAATATTAGCATATACTGAATATATTCCATCTTAATTATCACCTGATCTTCAGAAATACTGTGAGTGTTGATTAAAGTGGATTGCCTAATGATAAAACTAAGTAATAGATGTGTACATCTTTAATGTGGATGAAAAGGATTTTTAAACAGTCCTCGAAGCAGGTCCTGCAAACTTGTTGTGAATTGTAAATATGAAAGTTGATAACCATCATTTGTTTGTTTGTTTCCCTATTCCCATTTCATCTAAACTCCCTCATGCAGCTTGCAAGCAGAAGTTTGAGACAACAAATTAAGCCTGCTGTGACTCTAAAGCTACATCTGAATCAGAATGAAGATCAAACTGCCCAAGTGTTGCAAACCGACCCTTCCACCCTCCTCCACCTAATTCAGCAACTGGAACAAGCTTTGGGGGAAATGAAAACAAACCATTGCAGGAGAATAGTGCGCAACATGAAATAGTATTGGTTCGTGGCTGTTGTCTTACTAGGCAGTTTGTGAAACAAGTAAAGAGAGTGTTCACAAATACATTTTGAGGAAAAATAAACATCTGGATCAGATGAAATGCTTTCCTGTGACAGGATTTTGAGCCAGTAATTACAGGCTGAGTGTCCTCTGGTGCTAACTTTACACACCTGCCTGATACAAGATAGGTAATTGGTTTGGCTTTACTTGCAAATGTAGAAATTCAGCATGCTATGCTGAGAATTTCTGTAGCTCTAAATTAGTATAGTTCCACTTGAAGAGCTTTCCTACATTAGGTGGAGCTGTCTCAGTATTATATGAAGCTGCATGTTCATTTTTCCATTTACTAAGTATTTTTTTCTCTTGATTTTGCTTCTGTTTTGAAATTAAAAAAAAACCACAAAACCCTATAGTGGTGGAAATGATACTTTACAGGAATATTTCTTCCATCTAGGCTCGTGTGTGTGTGTGTGTGTGTGTAAGAGGCCATGTGGGATGACTGCTCTTTTCCTCCAAAGGATTCGGTCAGCTCAGAGTCTGGGTGTTACACCACTTTCCTGCCCTTGTGTAGCAAAATAAAGTATAATGAAGCTAGCGCTCCCATTTTCACAAAGCTGGCTGTGACCCCTACTAGGCTGCCTCACGCTTTCTGTGGGGAGCAGTTACCATAGGAAACCCAGTGGCCTAAGCGTAAGTTAGCATACTTGTTATTTCTGTATGTGACGGTGATGTGAAAAATTGCAGAAGTAAAACCATGGGCTAGGAGGCAGATGAAGAATAGTGTTAACTTCTGCTAAATCTGATATTAATTGTGATGCAACAATTTTTGTTCCCCTGTTTGGATAGTGTTCTCATACAGGAAGGACTAGCTAAGTATTGTGATGTGTAAGTATAAGTGATGCTTTTCCATTTTTAAGAAAAACGTCTCACAAAAGTTATGTCAAAAGTCACTTTTCAATTGTATTCTAATGCAGTATTTTGTAGCTCTTGTGACTAAGGTTAAATAGTTTTATTAATTAATGTTTTATTGTCACTAGTGAAGGTGCATCATAAAGCCCTTGAAGTATATTGGGGAGGACAAACAGGCAGGCAAATAGTTATTCTGGCAATAACTGTGTACTTACTGTCTTTCATAGCAGCACCATAAATGTATATATAAATTGGGTTCCTACATTCACAAATGCATTATTTTCTTACTGTTTTGAATTTTCGTACCTTTGAGAGGTACAAATGCATGGCAGAAGTGCTTTAATAATGACGTTAAGACCACTTTAAAAAAGTCTAAGTTTTCTAGAATATGGAGTTGCTTATTCTCCAAATGCTTTACATAGTGTGGGGATGGTGTGAACAAACTTAATTTCCTTTCCCATATATGAATCAGCAGTGGTTTCATTTACCGTCCATATGTGGTGACTTTTTCATAGAATCGGAATTTTCAGGTAATTAAATGTAATCAAATGTTACTACCTGGTATTTCTGATTAGTATTTTTTTTACATAATTGGCCTACATTGGCAGGTGAAATACAAAACAGCCTGTATGCAGGCCGGTGTTTTCTCTTTATTCTGTCTCTCCTCAGTATAGCCATAGTCTAGAACTCGTGGCAGCTAAATAGATGTTTTAGATACCAGTCCTGGAATGTTTTTGTGTCTCATCTCACTGCTGCCCTATGAATCTGAATGTATTTACCTTTCCCTCTCTTTTTTAAAAAAAGAAAACTAGCTGCTGTAGAGCTAGTTGGCATAATGGTAAATGCTGGCAGTTGATGTGTGTGTCATCTCCTAGAAGAGACGGGGAGGATTTCCCCTTGGTGATCATGAGTAAATGGACAGTTGAAAGGGGATTTTGTGAATACAGACTGTCATTAGAAAGCCTAGATATTGCCTTTTTTTGAAGCTTATTACAACAGCGTACAGGTGAAAACTGCAACATGGACTGGTCTTGTTTCCTCTAACAAAAAATGACCCAAATTGAGGATGGTCAAGGTTGAATTTTGAAGCTGAGTGAAATGTAGAGAAACTCAAACTTTGGCAGTGATCCATGAACAGACTCAAGAAGAGAAGTAAGGAGAAAGATCCTTTACACCAAGCGTGTTGCTTTTGAATTGTACCTTGCAGTTTGTTCTGGGGAGAAGTACTGAGCTTGGAAAAGCAGCTGCTCAGCAGTGAGGGATTTTATCTTAATTATTAGAAAGGCAGATTTGCCTTTGTGTGAGGTCGGAACAGGCCTTTCCACAGCTCTGCAAATCCCCCTTTCCCTGTCTTCGTAGCAGGCGGAGCAGCTACCAAGGGCCTTGCAGCTGCAGCGGCAGAAGTACCAATGTGCAGACAGAGCAGAACGATCTCCAAACCACGGTGATGAGCGCGAACGCGCAGCAGACGGTGCTTACTGCTGCTGATATAATCACACCAGTTTGAGTTACCAGTGCTGGGGTTACGGCACTTGCAGAGCTGCTGTTTCGTAGGGAAGTTGAAGCTGGAGAGTGAAAAAGCATCTACTTCAGCAACCCGTAGATAGTGGTAAAATAAGAATTCACTCGTTGATCCAGATTTTTCAGTTTTAATGTAAACTATGCAAAACTAAAGGTGACGTATAAAGCTGTATTTAATATAACTTGTTTCCTCTCATGAATTTGCAATTGTTTTATAGAAATCCTTGAACAGGACATGGAGAGTACAAAGCATTATTCACAAGGTATTAAAAAAAAAGTAACATTGCTACTTTTAACCAATTTTATTTTAAATAGGCTTTTTAAAATTTGCTCTGGTATGTAGCCATTAAAAGCAAAGATAAAGAGGCCATTTCTCTAGTATTTTTTTTGCAAGTCTGTAAGAACAGACTGTTGATTTTGTAACAGAAAAAAAGTGATTTTCAGCTTACCTATTAAAAAGTTAAGTAACTTTTTTCAAAGTGACTAAGCAAGTTTGATTTGTAGGCAGTGCAGCATTTTAATCTTGAAGCAATTTACAAACATTAATTAAGTTCTGAATAAACTGTGAGGAAGCCGAGTGTATTACTGTTTCATCTTTAGACATCTATTAAGTATGGAACTTAGTCTGTTGCCCACAGTGTAGAACTTTTGTGTGTTTTATTTTACTGCAAATTTAACTTTGTTTTGCAGAACTGCCCTTCCTGTGCATGTCAAGTAACTTGGTTTTGTGAAGCAATCTGTGAATGGCTCCCTGGCACCTCTTTTTATAGATGACTAAATGCAGGCGAACTTCATGCCAGTGCAGAGTCCAAGTGTACAGAACAACTGAAAATCCAACTAGTTTAAGCATAAAATAGATGATTTTCTTAAAAGCAGGGTTAGGCTCAGCCCTTAGCTATATGCTTCTCAACAGATTTGTAGCCCAGTTTGGGTTTTTTTTTCCTGGTCTAAACAGCAGAGGGCAGAAAGTTTGGTTTTTATAATCTAGAAAGGAGAAGCTTCACTATAAAATAATTTTAATAATTTTCAGTGTTTGTCTTCTGGTAAGAATCGCTTATAGTCTCAAGACTTATCTTGGAAGGTATTTCACCTTATATTTTCCAAATTCATGATCAACTTTAAACTGAAAACAATTAAACTTCCAGTTTTCAACCACTGTAAAACATTGTTTCTTGAATCTGCCATTTAATTTGCTAAACCACTTAGTAAAGAATGTAATACAACCAAATTCTTAAAATTCAGGATGACATAATTTTTAATTAAATGTTTAATTAAAATGTTTATATTCTTTTAAGCATGGAGTAAACTCAAGAAGCAGTGTTTTTCTTCCTTCTGTTTTTTTTTAATCTTTCTGAATGAACTCTGTGATCACTGTTTTGTAAAACCTATTGTTTAAGTTTCTGATCCAAGTTTTAATCAATTCTGAAGCATTTTTACTCTCCTACAAGCTTTATTTTGTATTTTTGCTGGTCCCTGACACGCTTTCTTGCAAGCTTTTAATTTACTAGACTAAATAGGTTATTAATTTATTAGATGTTCCTTGAATTATATGAGGAAAACTCTTTTAATTTAAACAGCTATGGCATTAGTTTATATACACATATATAAATAAAATCAGTATCTGAACTTTGGATTAGGCCTACAATTCTCATTTAACAGAAAACCCAGTGAATTAAGATTTTATCTTAACATATTTTTAATTTAATGTTAAATATTAGGCCTGTTTTAAATTTAGTGCTGTTCATGAAATGTGTCCCTGTATAGACTCAAAGGTAGGACTGGTGGAATTGCGGTTTTTTTAAGAATGCCTGTTTCCTACACTGTCCCTCTGTAATCTTAACAGTAGATAGTGCGTAGGAAAGGAAGTCAGCAATAACCTGGCAAAACCCCATGAGTAAAGCTCTGCTGTTTCTTTCTTAATCTAAATACAGGGAAGGAAGTCTCGTGTCACTCTGTGCTTGGCATTGTGGTCAGGGTCAGGTATATTACAGCACAATCTCTTTTTTTAAATACTCTTGCTGATTTTATTTTCAAGATAAGTATATAAATTGTGGCAGTTTGATTACTGTAGTTGTATCTTGAAATTTTAAATTCACTCACCCAATACAAAACTACTATTTCATTTAGGGTTCTGGGATTTAATATATTTGAAATGTGGCAGGTTTTAAACATTAACAGTAGTTCTACTGAGGATAGAATAGTGAGCAGATGGCTTTTACATGCATAAAAGTGCAGTTTTTACTGTGATTGTGTAATAGAATTTTAGAATACATTTTAGGAATTACCATGATCATCAGCTTTGACTTGCTTATTCTAGATTCTTCAGTGACAACTTATTCTAAATACATAAGAACAGACAAATCCTTCAGTCCATGTATCACATTACTGAAGTTTGTAAGAGGAACACCACTCTAAATAGTTGCATACAGATTGTCCCAAAATGTAGATAATATGCAGGCTAAGATATAAGCCCCAGTGACCAAATATGCTGCAAAACACATTAAATATTTTTTTCCCCCATCATTCAATACATAAGAACCTTCTACTGATCTTAACTCTTTTTCCTT